GTCGGAAGATGTCGAGTTTCACGTCTTGGCCCTCAGACTCCGATAGAGACATGTCAATGAGACTCATTTGACATTTGTAATCTGAAGAGACATTAGCTGGATTTGGATAGACAATGATTTGAGCACACTACCTTTATTGGCAGTAGGCATCGGGCGACGGAAATCCTTGACGAGACCAATAACATTCACGATACTTGTCGGGCGGACCTTGTACTCAACGATGTCGCTCAGGGGCGTAAAGCCCTTTGGGAGATCCATGGCCTTTTTGGCTTCGGTCTCCGCCATCGCCATGATTTGGACCAATGGAAGATAGGATAAATGTTCGCAAAGACAGGCGGAAAGGCACGTCGTTTGCCGCTCTCATAGCCCGCAAAGGCGACTGAAGAATTCTAGAAGTCCGACTCTGCGTTTGGCATGTCGTAGGGGCACTTAAGTTTGCTGGCCGTTTGACGCGTCTTACAGCTGGGGAGCTGTATCTCAATGGCGCGTCGCGCTCCACCAAAAGGAAAGTCACTTGACGCGGGGACTTACTTGTGTTTGCTTGTTGGATTTGCATGAGGTACCTGGTATGTAACCCCCATGCGTTTTAGGTACCGTCCCCTTCACAGGAGCCAGGTTGCAGCCCAGCCCGATAAAGGAGGGGCACACGCACCTGCTGGTCTCAGCTGCTTCAGCTACCTAGATACTACGTAGGCAGGTGCCTACGCCTGTCTAAGCACGCAGTAAGGGAAGGAACTCCGGACGCAGGTAATGTACTGGGGCTCCCAGCTGGAAGACAGATAGCTGCCTGCCGCTGTCAAATAGGTGGATTTAGCCCTCTGTGTCACTATCCTGTGGAAGTTTAGGTAGGTGCGGTAGCCCAAAGCAAGCAACTGTCGGGCCGTCGCGGGGAAGATACCTGAGCGAAGGGGAGCGGAGTACCCTACTAGCTTTCAATGACATAATCCCCTAGGAAACCAAGCTAAAAAGCACCGTCAAAAGCCAAAGTGGGGTGATAATCTCTTACCACGATACTCGACTCTCTATTGAATTAAGCCCTTTGCTGCAAAGCTAGATATTGAATGGAGACGGAGCCAACTTTGTACCCGTGATTGTGGACCACCAGGGACCTTAGGTAGTACGGTAAGGTAGGTATCCGTACCTACCGACTTAAAACTCCCCAGTGGAGGTGAAGCTGCCTATCGTCTCGGGCACACTGGGACACTTGGAAGACAAGGTAGGTAGCCACCCGACTGACTGCTGCTGAATCTCAGATGGCCCCTCCATCGAAAGCCAGTGCAAAAAAAAAATAAAAAAATCAGACAGTTCGCTTGCGGCCACCGGCACCTCCCAAAGAACGACGTAGTAGGTACCTTGGCCCGACCCGTTAGACAGCGCAAAACAAAAGTCACTAGAACGTACGCATCCCCATTGGGTCATTGCAGGGCCCTGCACTTTCCATTTCTTCGACCCGCTCTCTCGCTTCACCCTCCCTGACTCCCAGTTTCCTTCATCTTCCCCCCCATCATCACAACTTTTCTCCCAGCGACCTGACAACCATATCAGGATTTTTCTCCCAACACGCGCAACTCCTACCCTCCTTTTTACTTTTGCGCGACACAATCCAGAAGATCCATCTCGACAGAGACCCTTCTACCCTTGACGCCTTTCTCGGACACCCGCCGGCCAAACATTGTCTTTTTCCCCTTCTCCTGACGGTCGGCAAGAAAACACCACTCAACAATCACATCAACCCACGCAACCGCAAAGATGGCTGATCGATACATCCCCGAACATCGCCGTACCAACTTCAAGGCGAAGAGCACCTTCAAGCCTGAGGAGCTTCGTCGTCGCAGAGAGGAGCAGCAGGTCGAGATTCGCAAGGCGAAGAGAGAGGAGAACTTGGCCAAGCGTCGTGGCATTGGCTCTGGCGAAAACAGACCCGGCGCTTCCCTCGGAGCCGCTCCTGACAGCGATGACGATACCGCTCCTACTGAATCCCAGGTAAGTTTTGCTTCATGTTTTTTTGCGATGTTCTGGCCTTCGAATCTTCTTTGTTTGAACCCCGCCAATACTGTTGCACCCTTCGTCTTATTTCCTCCCCCTCCTGTTGCCAGGGCGCCTTGCCGTTGCCCCACTTCCCTTTTGGCGCGAGTCGGTCCCTCTCTGCGTCTCTGCAGCCTCAAGCTTGCGCAAAGAGCTCGAATCGAATTCTGCTTCATCACAAGCTATAGCTCCTCCATTCATTCAAAGCAGCCATGCTGATCTTTCTTAGCTTAATGAGGATCTCCCCCAGATGGTTCAGGGCGTCTTCTCAGAGCAGATTGACCTCCAGATCCAAGCGACCACCAAGTTCCGAAAGCTGCTGTCCAAGGAGCGCAACCCTCCTATCGAAGAGGTCATCAAGACCGGCGTTGTCAGCCGCTTCGTAGAGTTCCTCCGATCGCCTCATACACTCGTCCAATTCGAGGCCGCCTGGGCGTTGACCAACATCGCTTCCGGTTCCGCCACGCAGACTCAGGTTGTCATCGAGGCTGGTGCAGTCCCCATCTTCGTCGAGCTCTTGGCAAGCCCTGAGCCCGATGTGCGTGAACAGGCTGTTTGGGCCCTGGGCAACATCGCCGGTGACAGCCCTCACTGCCGTGACTACGTCCTCAGCTGCGGTGCCCTGAAGCCTCTCTTGGCCCTTCTCGGAGACAGCCGTAAGCTTAGTATGCTCCGCAACGCCACCTGGACCCTCAGCAACTTCTGCAGAGGCAAGACCCCTCAGCCCGACTGGAACACTGTAAGGAAACATCTTTTGTCTTCGCACCTGTCCGTCGCTAACCATGTCTACAGATTGCCCCCGCTCTTCCTGTGCTTTCTAAGCTTGTCTACTCCCTTGACGACGAGGTTCTGATCGACGCCTGCTGGGCCATTTCATACTTGTCTGACGGATCCAACGACAAGATTCAGGCCGTCATCGAGGCTGGTATTCCCCGTCGCCTGGTCGAGCTCCTCATGCATGCCTCCACCTCCGTCCAGACGCCCGCTCTCCGCTCCGTTGGTAACATTGTCACTGGCGACGATGTTCAGACGCAGGTGATCATCAACTGTGGTTCTCTGCCTTGCCTCCTCTCGCTTCTCAGCTCCAACAAGGATGGCATCCGCAAGGAGGCTTGCTGGACCATTAGCAACATCACCGCTGGAAACTCCGCCCAGATCCAGTCGGTCATTGATGCCAACATCATCCCCCCTCTCATCCATCTCCTGTCAAATGGCGACCTGAAGACCCGCAAGGAGGCCTGCTGGGCCATTAGCAACGCGACATCAGGAGGCCTGCAAAAGCCGGAACAGATCCGCTACCTGGTCGCTCAGGGCTGCATCAAGCCTTTGTGCGATCTGTTGGCCTGCCCCGACAACAAGATCATCCAGGTTGCTCTGGATGGTTTGGAAAATATTCTCAAGGTTGGCGACCTGGACAAGCAGGCCGCAGGTGAGGGGCCCGACTCTGTCAACCGTTACGCTTTGTTTATCGAGGAGTGCGGTGGCATGGAGAAGATTCACGATTGCCAGACCAACGCCAACGAGGAGATCTACATGAAGGCGTACAACATTATCGAGAAGTACTTCTCTGATGAGGAGGAGAACGCGGATGAGGGCATGGCCCAGGGCACCGGTCCCAACGGTACCTTTGGATTCGGCACCAACGCCGCTCCCCAGCAGGGTGGCTTCAGCTTCGCCAATGGCGGCGATTCGATGGACATGTAAAGTACCAAATTGCCAGCGACCTTCGAAAATTCCGTTTGCTGGTTCAGCAACTTGCCAACATTGGATCAACATCCCGTCAACCCCATATTCCCCAATCCACAGCACCCACCGTCACCCATGCCCTTTTTGTCAGCGACGCATTATGCATCTTGCTAGGCTGACAGTTTTACAACACCCCCCACACATACACACAACACGTGCAATCGGCGTTCTCTAATATGGCTTGATGGAAACGATTGAAAGACATTCCCGGTGAGGAGAAGACAGGTCCTTTGGTAGCTTCAAAGCTCCAGCCTAGGAGAGGAAGAGAAAAGGCGGTGGACACGGGCCAAGGAACGAATGACGAGGCTCAGTTGGCACGGGTGACAGGTCTGCCGCCTCGCCGCTTCAGAGCTGTAGGTCGGGATCTGGTTCGTCATGAAAGTCAAATCTGGCCACTCAGGCGGACTTGTGTGCACCGTGGGAGAGACTGGCCACATTGGCGCAACATCTCGCCGCAGAAACTGCACCTGTAGGAGACGAGCTGATTGATGCTAGTGCATCTCAACTCGAGAGACAGGCCTGAGAGCCACATGAAATGCTCCCCAGAACCAAGTGGTAACTGGCTCACAGCGTTCATAGTCAACTTTCTGCAATAGCGGGCAGTAGTGGAAATCAACGTCAAATTCATGAATTGTGAGAGCATCACATGCTAACTGACCCGATGAGCGTATTGTGATTGTTGAAATGTCCTCGTATGCATGCCACATAGTTGCCATTCGGGCAAGAGAAGGTAGTTCCAATAATGAGACTTGGGCCTAGGTATGTGATCCGTGGTCAATCACCATGTTCAGAAAGATGCAGGGAATGCATTAGTGGCATCTAGGGTATCCGTTCCTGGCGACCTACGAAAGTTGCCTCAGCATGCTTAGGTACCTAAGTACCCTGTGCGCTACCTTGCCATGGGCCTCCGAGGTGCGGATACACTCCGCAGTGGATAAGATGATGGAAGTTGCGTTAGCGAACGGCAGCGCGACCAAACATCAAGAAACTCATACTACCTATCCTCTCCCAGTACAGAGTCGCGCATGCGCCCCGACCTTCCTAGAACACATCACCGCCGCAACTACTTATGCTTTCCCAGCTGCGCATCTACTAAAGCGAGCGTAGAAGTATGCTCGTACAAACGGCCAGGGCGAGATCAAAGAGCCCGGCTTAATTCGCCTAGCGTCTTACTCCACGACAGCGACAACCTCGAATCAGCCCGCAACTTTATTGCCAGCATCGCCAACATGGACGGTCGCGTAATACGAGGCGTTCAGCGCGCCGCACTTGAGCAATGGTCCGAATTCATAGCCAAGAGTCTGGCTCACCGCATAGATCCCGAGAAGTTCGAATCCTATGTTCCATTTCTCCAAGCAAAGCATCCGTTGCCGCCAGTTGCCGTCGCCGATCTCTTCTTACGACCGCAACCTCACAATCACGAGAGCCTCGACCCTCGAGTCCCACGCTACCTCCAGGTCCTCTCTAGACTGAACTATATCGATACGCCTTCGATTCTTAAAGCTTTGTACAAGTATTCGACCTCTCGTGGCCACTCCCGAGAAGCTGGACAATTGCCCAATGTCGAAAACCAGACAACAAGCTTCCCACGATGGGAGAGCTCGTATGCGGCCGAGGAGGTCATGTTCTACAGGCTCACCAAGTCTGTAGCACAAGGGACCGCAATACAAAACACAGGGACGGGTCTTGAGATCGCCAACGTCATGGCCAAATGGATTGCGCTCTTCACCGACGCCGCCACAGCCTTCACGGTCGATGTCATGGGGCAGCTTCACAGTAGCCAGGTAAGAGAAGAGATGGAATCGGCGCGTGCCGCATTCGTAGCTTTGCTTCTCGGGGTGTGCGAAAATCAGGTTGTTCTCAAGGCTTTGAGTAAACCCGAAGCCCAAGGTAGGTGCTTAGGTACTGCTGCAATGACTTCGCGTTAGCTAATCTTGAATAAGAAATCAGAAAGGCATTGTCCGAAAGCCTCGCCAACTTCGTCCCAACCATCATGCAAAGTGCTGGCCCTATCGCGACCCGTCTCGATATGTTCCGGACGAGTACGCTAGCAGGCTTTGAGCCAGTCGACGAGCAGAAGAACAAGTCGAATGCCGAGATCGAGGACTTGTTTGACTCCACGGTAGCATTGGAGAACTTTGTAGTGTCTGAGCTACCGATAGTCAACTCGAGGGCTGGTCTTTACATATACTTGAATGCTGCAGTAAGATAATTGAAGCTGCGCTCTGGGGGAGGTGCTGACAGGAAGCGCAATAGCTAGTTGGCCGGCCATTGATCGATGATCTAGCCATCTTCAACTACTTGAACAATAGATACCAGGTATGACTTTTTTTGGTCTGTGCAGACACAACGCGCACACCAACTGACATCCGCAGGGCGATGTACAATCAACAACTGTTGACCTCATCCTGGTCTCGTTCGACATACTGGCCAATGCCGCCTCCCGCAATGAAGGGAAACAAGCGGCACATCTATTGCGCTCATTTCTCATGAATAAATTACCGATTCTGATTGAAAGTCTGAGCAAGCATATGTACGGCCCAGTGAATGCAGAATACTGCATCACGGAAGCTCTCAGCCGCGTCGACACGACCACCTTTCCCACACTATCATCAATGTTCGATGAAACCAGAAGTAACAATCCCTTCACAGACTCAGTTCGGGAAGACTTTTGCTGGGCTTGTTGTCTCCACGGCCTATTGCGGGAAAGCAGTATTGAAACTCTCCTTGGAGAAACACCCTATTCATCCCTTCCAGCAAGCGGGAGATACGTCAAAGAAAATCTTGTCGCAGAATGCCTTGCAGATCCGGAGAGAATGCAGGCTCTGATTGGGGAGCTAGACAGCAAAGAAGGAAACGCCGGCGCCGTGTGCCAAGCTTTGACAGAAGTCAGTCTTCCGTACTTATCAACGCAGGCTAATGCTGACCTTTAGCAGGTAATGGGGCAGCTTTGCAGGAATAAGGAGACAATGTCCCTGAAACTATTATGCAGTCAGTTGGCGCAGAAGCCATTGTCTCTTGATGTCATGCTGATGTTCGAGAAACCTGCAACGATTCTTCATCCTTTGTGCGACCTTCTGGACAACTGGAAGTACGATGAGGACCAAGGAGAGTATCAACCCGTGTACGAGGAGTTTGGCTCAATTCTGCTTCTCGTTATGGCTTTCGCATTTCGATACGGTCTTTCGGCATCAGATATGGGGATCATATCCTCTGACTCTTTTGTGGCAAGACTACTCGGCCACGGCCACCAAAGTCGGTCTTTGGAAGAGTTATCAGACCAAGAAAAGGGCCATTTGGATGGGTGGATACACGGCCTCTTTGACTCGGAAGCGGGCGGACTAGGCGATGAGCTGATGTCGTCCTGCCCGCCTCAGGACTTCTACTTACTAGTGTCGACTCTGTTTCACAACATCGTTCTAGCGTTCAGTACAGGACACTTGGCCGAAGAGAGCCTCAGAGGAGGCATTGAATGTAGGAGCTTTGAGAAGTCTGACTAAGAGTTGCGCTGACATGTTTACAGATCTTGTCGATACGTTCCTTCTGCCATCCCTCGTCGTTGCGATCACTTCTCTTGCCAACTCATTGTGGGTTGAGCGTCCTGACTGCCAAAAGGCGATTGTCAGGGTACTCAACTCTGTTTTGGCACCAACATCTATATCCAATGAAGCGCAAGCCATGCTCTCTTCTGTGATGAACATAGTTGCCAAGCCGCTGGAGCATTCCCTCAGGGCATACCAACGATCAGACCCAAAGAGTCAAGAGGTTGAACCGCTTTTAAAAGCAATCAAAGATAGTATCCCACTCTCCAGGAGAACGGGAGCCGCCGACCACCAAGAACTGGACGCTTGGTCAATGGGAGGATTCTCTAATTCTATCCGACAGACGCTACAGCAATTGGTGCAGTGGAGCATTCACCCAACAATGGACAGGATGCCTCCCGCGTACACCCATCGACAGATGTTGGTGGCGATGAAACTTCTCGGTGCAAAACGCTTACTGCAGCTCCTTTACGAAGACATCAGACAACAAACAGAAACGGGCAGCGGGAGCATCATTTACGATGTGGCAACAGCATTAGTCTGCGCGCCCGACGTGGTGAACACGCCGTCGAACCCGATCAACTTTATCGACAATTCAGGCAATGTACCGGCTCCCATCCAGAGGAAGCTTACTCTGCGAGAGGTTCTGAAGTCAGATGCCGAGGAGTGTAAAAAGCTGCAGAAGGTCGACATGAACCTTGCCGAGATTGTTGTGAGGCTGTACCGCAAGGTAGAGACTCAGATGGCCGTATCCCAGGCTGAGGTCATCCAAGCAGACACCATGCTGCAGACTGATCTCGGTCTGAGCTTAGACGCTGGCGCAGGCTCACTCGATGATGCCATGGCTGCCGCGGCTGCCAATGTTGCGCAAGGCGACGGAATGTCTGTGGACAACGTCAGTCTCGATCTGGGCCTAGGAGGTGTTGGCGGTGATCTTGGTCTCGGGGGCTCATCGAACAATGGTGGAGGGTCACTGGATCTCGGTGCCGACGACCTCTTCAGTGGCCTCGGTGCTGGTGACGATTTTCAATGGGACAACATGGACCTATCTTAGTGAACCTATCTTAGCACGGGGGGCATGTTCTCTTGACGAGGCCTTGGCCTCATAGAATAGTACTGCATATTGTATCAGATACCATCAAAAAGTATTTCCCAAATTCATCCACTTCTTGCTTCGTTCATTTGGCCTCCGGCCAGCTACCAATAATGAACTGTGAGTTGCACATATTTGTAAGCTCCCAATCCTCGGCCCCCATCTCAGCCTTCATCGCCACGTCTCCCCGGTCTCCGCACAAGCCTCCGATGAACATGGTGGCCATGAAATGATCATCCGTAGCATGCGCCTCGCGGTACATGGGATGCTTCATCAAACTCGTCACCTTGCGCCTCAAGAGCGGCCCGCCGCACGGCTTCTTGCCGCGGATGGCCTTGCCGTAGACGGCCTGGTCGGTGGGGACGTCCTCCTCGTACGCGGGACAAAAGGCGTCAATGACCTCCTGGCGGAAGTCCAGCGCCCAGGGCTCCGGGGGCGTAGGCTGGGCAAAGTTGTCGCGGAACTTGAGCATGGGCGCCCAGTTGTTCCGGTAGAGGTTGTGGACGGAGCCGCCAGAGCCGATGAAGAGCGTCTTGTGCTTGGCGGCTCTCAGGGGCCGCAGGGCGGCGCCGACGGCGACGTGAAAGTGCGGGTCGTAGAAGTCGTTCATGGAGATGAGCGTCGTCGGCGGGCAGCCGGCGGGGAACATGCGGATGAGGACGAGGTAGGTGTCGTGGATCCAGTCAAAGGTCGGGTCCGTCTTGGCGGGGATTCCGGCGGCGGCGAGGTGCTGCTGGATCGTGGGGATGTAGTCGAGGTCTGGGTTCAGTTTGTAGGGGTGGTATTTCTCAGGGTTAACGTAGGCGACTGGTGACTTTGCGGGCGTTGGGTGGGCTGAGATGAGGACCTCACCGGGGGCATTTGTGGCCCAGTGGGCTCCCTGGTGGTCGTTGTGAGTTGAGTTGCTTCCATGAGATATGAGATGGTAGGGAGAGGAGCCTACTTACCATCATGACAATGTGTTCGATACCCTGGGCGAGGGCTTCATCGCCGCACTTCTTCCAGTACGTGGCCGAGTTGCTCTCCTCGCCGAGCATCATTGTTGATCCATGCGCGAACAGGAAAACGGGGTTCATTGGCCCCTCATCTTTGGATCCCACCGCCATGATCTGATTGCTATCTGGGTTCTCAACTCGTCCGTCTGAGCTGATCGAAGTAAGGCAAGCGAGTAATTGGATGTCTACGCAGCAGAGTATGGGTCACGAAGACGAGCAACGGTCGAAAGCCGCCTTCTTAGCACTCGGAAGCTGATGAGACTTAAGACACTGAGATGGTTATCTTTCGCCTGTGTAAGGAATCGGCTGGTGGAGGATAGGTTTTGCCGCCAAAGTTCGTTAGGAAGTCGATTCGAACGGCCCCATTTACGGAAACTGGTCTGAGGACGATAAGACGTTCCATTGTCGAGGACGCCTGGGTGGCCTGCCCGAGCTTGGAGTAGGTGGTGTTGGCGCTGGAGTGTCGGAGAATCAGCGGGACCAAGACCTGGGGTAAAGCTGGGGCCGATGGGGCCGGGGCGGGCACTTAGGAGTCTCTCCACTTCCCGAGCCGAACCCGAGCCGGGGAAAGTTGCCGAATATTGTTTGCGAAGGTAAAGGTAGGCAAGTGGTGTGTTCGGGACCCTGACAGGCGTGACAGGGTTCAACCTCAGTCTGTTTTCCAACTATTGAATTCCTCAATGGCACTTCTTGGTTTCCCTAGTCGTATTTGCGGTGAATTACTAAGCGGCATGAGTCCGGGAATGAGATGATTCAATAGCCTGATCTGTCGACCACTCGTAATATGCCGAGAAGAGTTTTATGGAAAGATGAGTGTGATCGAGTAGCATGCATGTAAACTAGAGGTACATGATATGATATGGTATGATACATATTGAGATTTGCGACTGTCCTCCGGCGTAGGACGATAGTTTAACCCCTCAGTTTCAGCGCATAATCAAATACCCGCCTTCCGCCAATCCATGTGCCGTATGCAAGACTCGGAAGTACAACGCTCATGATTAGACCGGCACCCAGCACGAACCCTTGCTCGAAGAAACCCAGTCTGCTATTGCCTGGCTGGTTGGTCGGGCGCAGCGGTGCGACAGCCAGGGCATGCAGATTCTGGGCGGTGATCGCGCCGGAGCTGGTGAGGAGCTGCTCCAGTTTCGCGAGCGCGCCGGCGGGCTTCTCGACGAAATGCGGCCGGGCAACGGAGAACATCTCTCTATTGTAGCGGAATCCAAAGGCTGCTTCGTGGGAGAGCGGTGCTGCCGGGCCGAGGAGGAGGTTCGAGGGGATCTGGTTGATGACGGAGACGTGGGCGGGGAGAAATTGGGAGAGGTACTTTGCTGCATCAGGGCTGGCGAAGAGATAGGCGGCTAAGAGAGGGTTCCTAGTCAAATCAGCAAAAAAGTCTTGATGTGACTGATGAGTTTTAGCTCACTCGAATTCATGAGTGTAAATAGAGTCTACAAGACCAGAAGAGGTCGTGATAGGCAGAAAGCGCCCACTGATCTTGATGTTCAAGAGGGAGGCATTCCTGATTGAATCAGCATCTTCGTCAACTACAAGTGAGTGAGATCCCAACTTACCTGTCTTGTATATCAACCAGCTTGAAGTCCTTGGACCCAAAGCTCGAGGCAAGTCTCTTGTCCTCAGCCTCCTGTACTGCCTTCCTCGTTTCGTCGCTGGCGCTGTCACTCGCACGCTTTACTGTAGTCTCACGGGCAAACGCGAGCGAGGCATACTTTGAGCACGCCTCAAAGAACTCCTTCTTCACGAACTCATTCACGAGAACTAAGTCTGGCGCATAAGGCGACTGACCGCCGAAGCTGAAGCGCGCCGCCGTGATAGCCTTGGCAGCGGCCTCAATGTCCGCTGTTCGGTCAACTATAGCAACGGTGCGTGCGCCATTGGCGGAAATGAGATGGTTTGCGCGACTAGCGTTCGGGGTCGCTGTGTTGGTTTGATCTACTAGGATTGCCTGTGACAGTAATGTTTCGTCTGTGATCTTCTTGGCGATGCAGAAGGCATTCTGATTGAGGGCACGCGTAAGGACGTTGCGGAGGACGGAATCTAGCTGCGACAACGTATCTTCGAGCTGTAGGCCTTCCTGTCAGCTTCTGATACAGGTGAGCCAATGTTGCAAATTATCAGGCGTACCTCGAGAACAACAACAGAGCCGGCAGCCAGGGCCGCAGCAAGTGGACTCAGAATAGAGAAGAGCCTGGTGTAAGTGGTCGGCCGAATGATCACCAGTCCGGCACCGGTCCTTCTGCTCGTGTTGTCCTTGCCATGAGCAACCAGATACTCGGCCTCGATCTCCTCCGAGAAGTTTAGAGACTCGTAGAAATGTCGCACAGCTTCCAGTGCGAGGAAGTGCTCGGCCTCGATCTCTGTCTTTGATGCGCCGGTATCCTTCTCCTGAGCGGCAGTCAGGGCCGCGGACTCTTTGCGCAGCTCGTTGTGGAGGCTGATGAGGTTATCCTGGCGGAAGCGAATGACTTCGGCGCGCCCGTCGACGAGCGTTACGAGCAACTTCTCTACAGCAGGATTCATTGCGGTGATGTTTTGGAGAAGTTAGGGAGGAGGACAAGCACTCGTTGACAGGTGAAGGGTAGAGCGACTCGATTGCAACGAAAAGTCGAAGGTGCGACGATGGAATAATGTGCTATCTACAAGACCTGAGCTCGCTATACACAAGCTCATATCGGATTCACGGGCAGATCCGATGAACTCGGCAAGCTCAAACATCTGTCCGCGGACCGTAACCTTCGTTTGAGCTAGGCCCCGGCTTGTTGGAGGGGCGGAATGTGGAGGACAGGGGTGCTAGTCGTTTCTCGACATTCGTTGCTTGCGGGTTGACTAGGATCTGGTAGGCGGCAGCCTCCAAACCGACGCTTGCCACAGGTCTCATTGGTTCTCTCCGCACTTCCGACGCAGGCGTATCCGCAGGTTCATGGTAAGGTTGATCGGGTGGCGCGGGCTCTTGGGAAGGGACGGGTCGACGGTCGGCATATTGAAGCGGTGCCCTGCCTCCTCGTGTCGAATTTCTGAGATAGGCGTCTCCAATTCTCCAAGGCCATCTCTACCATTTCTTGTCGAAGTTGTCTGAGTTTCAATAGATTTCGCTTGTTCATCATCTCACCACACACATACGCAAAGACAACAAGCAAGGTCATCATGTCGGCAACTGTCACAGAGAACCCTGTCACGACGACAATCCAACGAGACTACCTCCACGACTATCAGATTCGTCTCACCGGAGGCGTTGAGGAAGCCTTCGCGAGAGGCAATGCGGATGCTCCATCGCCAGCAGCAGTGAACCCGCCCGGATGGTACGACCAGCACCGCCAGGTCCCTCCATACAGGCCGGCGAACACGAATATGGATATAGCAGACAGGCCATGGGGGTCAAATGGCATCGAGTCGGCCTTTGTGTTTGTCATGTTGAATGGGTGTTGGCTTCAAGGGGTGAGTAAAATGTGCAATCGTCGTTCGCGGCGCATGCAAAATGGGTGAAGGTGAGCATGCTGACATGAGTCCATCAGGTTACCAACTGGCTCTGGAGGTCGACGGGTGGAAGAGTGAATAAGGATATTTTCAGGTTCAAGGTCGGTGGTGAGTTTTGATGCGCTGGTTGTGAAATTTTCAGTGAATAGTGTCGCCTTAGAGGCATGGTGGTGGCGGATGGCATCTACTCTGTGTTCAATACATTCAATGACAGCAATCCATTTTCTATGTCTGCAATATATCGTAAACCTCCAAATCTCTCCTTTGGTTGACTCCATCGTGTGATGGCCTGGGGCAGGGAATCTGGTGTTTGCGACGAGTATCGCCTCATTTGCCTTACCGTAAGGTACCCAAGGGATCATAATACGAATAGTCCGTACCGAGACGGGGTAGAAACAATACCGTGCTGGCTCCGCTCGTTGGGGTCAGCCCCTCCCCCACCGTTCCGCCCGTGCGCAACAAACGCCATACACGGAGGCGGCGGCGGCAGCGATGAGGAGTAGAGGCAGAGTGAGTACCACCCGAAGTAGGTTGATGTGTGGGAGGAGGGGTCCGATCATTGAAGCATCTTGCATCATCCGCTCCATTCATCTCATCGTCGGTGAAAGAGTTCAAGTGCCCAGTCCCGCCCACCCCATTGCAATAAAACCAAGGAACGCCCCTCCAAGACTTGACATCTCCTTCGACTGAACGCCAATCACCCCCAGCCTGAGACATATAGGCAAACATTTAGCTCCAATCACCATGTCTGTCAAGACCCCTCCCATCAAAGACCTGCTCGAGGTCACCGAGGACCAGGAGAATGGCCTCACCTTTATGAAGAACGTCTCCATCCCGCTCAAAGACTCCCCGCTCCCCATTCGCGCGAACGTCTACCTTCCGCTCACTTCGGATAAGGCCGCACGTTACCCTGTGCTGGTGACTTACGGACCATACGGCAAAGATATCCCTTATGCCAAGTTCTATCCCAAGTCGTTCAGCGAGGTTGCTCCAGATCAGAGATCCAAATACTCGGCCTGGGAGACGCCCGATCCGGTCTTCTGGACGAGCCAGGGATATGCTATCGTTCGAGCCGACGAGCGAGGACTGGGCCAGAGCCCAGGACTGTTGGATACCATGAGCCGTGGCACGAGCGAGTGCTTCTTTGACGTGGTTGAGTGGGCTGCAGATCAGCCCTGGTCTAACGGCAAGGTCGGTCTGTTGGGTATTTCGTATTACGCTGGTGCGTTGTTCCTCTTCTCAAACTATTAGCCGAGACCACTTACTCACCTACTACTCTCAGGTTCTCAATGGCGCGTTGCCGCTCGGCGGCCCAAAGGTCTCGCGGCTATCATCCCTTGGGAGGGTATGTCCGACTACTACCGCGACCGCTGCCGTCACGGCGGCATCCACTCCAATAAGTTTATCGGCTTCTGGTGGAACCGCCAGGTACTGGTCAATCAATATGGCAGGAAAGATAGATCCAAGCTGGACTTCCCTCCAGATGGTCCTGGAGCCAGAGGTCAGGAGGACACCATTGAGGGTGACCTGCCAGAAGACGTCCTGGTAGCCAACCGTCAAGATCAGACGAAAGACAACGAAGCTAACCGCTTCCGCGACGATGACTACTACGCAAGCAAAGAATACAAGCTCGAGGACATTGAGGTTCCTGTTCTGAGCGTAGCCAACTGGGGTGGCATCCTTCTTCACCTGAGAGGCAACGTGCAGGGATACCTCGGAGCAGGCTCCCAGCTCAAGTATTTGCGCTTCATCACTGGCCGTCACGATCTCCCATTTTACTACCCCGAGGAAGTGGAGCTACAAAAGAGTTTCCTCGATGCATTCTTGAAGGGTGAAGATAGAGTCGGCTGGAGCACGCCTGGCAAGGTGCCTCCCGTGACGCTTACTCTGCGAAAGGGCAACGTCGGATTCAACGACGCCGAGAAGGAGAAGGCGTATCCCAAGAGAGAGGAAGCTGCTTGGCCAATTCCGCGAACAGATTACACCAACTTCTATCTGACGCCTGACCTTGGTCTAACGACAAATGGCTCCGGCCAGGATTCCAAGACTGTCTCGTATAAGGCTTTGGGTTCCCTGGAGAACCCTCAAGTTGTTTCCTTCACGTCCGCTCCCTTTGAGCAAGAGACGGAGATCACAGGACACGTCACGGCCCATCTCAACGTCTCGGTGACGCCCGACAACTCGGAAAATGAAACCGATATCGACCTCTTCGTGACCCTGCGCCACATCGACCCATCGGGCCAGGAAGTCTTTTACACCGGAACAGCTGGCGACCCCGTGCCGCTCGTCAAGGGCTGGCTGAGAGTGAGCAATCGCAAGGTGCACCACGAGAGCCCCAAGCACAAGTCCTGGCTGCCGCATAGAGAGTACCTCTCCACAGACGTCCTGCCAGTCAAGGCTGGAGAGGTCTACGGCGTAGACATCGAGGTCTGGCCGACAAATGTCGTTGTCGACAAGGGCGGCAAGATCGTCTTCGAGGTTAGCAGCGGCGACACCCAGGGCAGCGGAATTTTCCAGCACTGCTCAGAAGTTGACCGGTAAGTTCGAATTTGCTCAATTCTTTCCCCAAGGACTTTAGACTAACAACTCCACTATTCAGGCCTGCATCCAAATTCTCTGGATTGAACAATATTCATTTCGGCCAAGGCCTTGAGAACTATGTCACTCTACCCGTAATTCCTTAGAAGTAGAGAAAATTGAAGCCAGGTGCGGAGTTCTAATGCCGGAGTGTCTTACTCTCCATCATCAGCTGTGCCTGTGCCGAGTTTGCAAGTTGGTTTGGGCTCCGAGTCCCTGATCCGAGCCTCCTACGTACCTTTGGTGGGCCGGAGTTAAAATCCGGGGCCGGTGGGGGTGGGGGAGAGCGGGTGCGCCGAGGTTGGTGGTAACTACCTACCTTAGCAAACAGACATTTGAGCTCCAAGAGCTTCATCGCGCACGTGTAAAAGGAATGCAGCCTGCTGCGATACAATCAGAACCTCTCTATAGCCCAATCGAGCTTCATAAAGCCAATCATTGATACCAATCTCCCTGCCAGTATGAGTTTCTCCGAGCATTTCTCCCTTGCCAACATTCCGTACGGAATCGCCAGTGACGCGAACCATGCAAAAGGCGTAGTCACGAGAGTAGGGGACTCGGTCGTCTTCCTCTCTGACCTAAAACTCACAAATTCCGCGGATCTCAAGTCCGCTTTGTCTCAGGTCTGGCCATTTGTCCCTCTCAGTCACTTGTGAATACTAACAGCCTCAAAGCCGACCCTCAATGCTTTGGCGGCAGTAGAAAAGACGGAGCTCGGGATCCTCCGAAAGAACATTCAACAAACCCTTTCCGACGAATCGACTCTGTCTGAACATGGCGTACCGATCGCCGAGGTTCAGCTACACTTGCCAATCAAAGTAGACGGCTTCACCGATTTCTCGTGCTCCAAAGAACATCTCTTGAATGCGTCAGAGGCAGTTGTGGGCAAGGCCTCCATGCCACCCGCAGCACCGTACTTGCCCATCGGCTACAGTGGTCGGCCTTCTTCGATTGTACTTTCGGGGACGAATATCACGCGGCCGTACGGGCAATATCGTGACGGAAACAGTATTGGTTTCGGTCCCTCCAGAGCGCTCGATTACGAGCTCGAGGTGGCTTGCATTATTGGGAAACCGACGCAGCTTGGAGACCGCGTAGCTGTGACGGATGCTGACGAGCATATCTTTGGTCTCGTTCTGCTGAACGATTGGAGTGGTGAGTCTCGATCTTCCTTGCAAGATGTTCTTGCGATGCTAATGGAAGACAGCTCGCGATATCCAAGGATTTGAGATGAGTCCGCTGGGACCGATGAATGGCAAGTCATTCGGGACGTCCATTAGTCCGTGGGGTAAGTCAGACTCTACTCTGTCTCGAAATTGAAAGAATGCTTGCTAACTACGTTGTAGTGATCACACTCGAAGCACTCGAACCTTTTGCAACACAACCTCCTCCGAAAGATATACCCTCGCAGCCATACTTGTTGGACAACAAGGAGAAATCGAGTTACAATATCGCCTTGAAGGCCGAAGTAGTAACTGGCAACGGGGCTACGACGGTGTGTAAGGCGCAGCTCAGCTGGATGTACTGGACGTTCCGCGACCTAGTGGCCCAGCAAACAATCAATGGGTGTAATCTCAACACTGGCGATATTCTGGCGACGGGGACGGTGTCGGGAGCCGGCGATGACGAGCACGGGTGTCTGCTAGAGATGACCAAGGGCGGCAAGGTCGGTTGGAAGACGTCCACTGGTCAAGACAGGATGTATTTGCAGGACGGAGACGGCGTGCGCATCAGCGGGCAAGCTGGGGATGGCGTGGGGTTTGGTGACTGCGTGGGGTTCATCGGGGCCGCTCGGCCGTTTGGAACAGCACAGGTCCATTTGTGAAGCGACAATGGGTCATTGGCAAGAACGAGGAGCCTCGGAACTTGAACGAGTAAGGCAGGGCTGGAGTACAGATAGGGCGAAGGGAGCCGGGACCCCGGGGAGCTCCAGGTCTCTTTCATGGAGGACTGAAGTCGGCTTACAGTCTGGAAGGAAAGAGCCTAGGCATCTGCCTTACATATTACTCCGTTGGTGCGCGTGTATCGAAGTGAAACTGCGGCAGCAGATTTGAGCGGCTCGGAGAACGGGAAGTTAATGAACTGAACTGCTCCGAGCCTTCGGCATTGGGCTTCCGCGGAACCTCCCTGTAAGGGATCCTTCTCTGGGCCTAGGCCTTATTACCTACATAATCGTACTGCCTATACATAGCCTTCAGATCTTACCAAGGTGAAGGGAATTTGCCCCCAATGTCCTCCCCCACGCTTGGTTGGAGTCTTTGGGGATGGAGGATGGGGGATTGGAGGCGCATAGACCTACCGCGGTCCGCGCTATGCCTGTAGACGGAGAATTGCCATGCATCAAGAGGACCGCGGTAGGAGGGGGAAAAAACGCGACTGTGCCTAAATGGATTGAATAGGTAAGTCTTACCCCAAAGGTCCACCTTTCATCAGCCACTTCAATGACTGTGTGTTCAGTAAACGCACGTCCCATCGCGGTTGATTTCAAGACTCAGCAACTTCTTGGACTTCTGTCTGGCTGTCGGCAAGTTCGGAGCGGGTCCGGGATCCACTTGTCCGAGGTTTATGCGCACGAATCGATGGTAATCGGAGGAACGGGCTCGTTGGCTCTGGTATCCTGGTCCCCGTCACTTGTGTCAAATGTCCCGGTCGCGTCCGATTTCATGTGGGAGTGAAAGGCAGATTAAACCCTTTTGAAGCGATTAGATGGTCCAATCGTGACCATTTGCGCAAACCGCACCTTACCGCAGCTGTCTCTACGTATCACTGCATATCTCGCGTAGGGGTTACGTAGAACAGCTTCAAACATACTTTGCTGGGTTAGTGAAGGTTCATGAGAAAGACAACACTTTGTAAGGCAATTGGCTTAGGCACCTGTTATTGCTGATCTAGAGTACCTTATAGGGTAGTAGAATAAGTAGAAGAAGGTGGGGAAGACAAAAGAAAAAGATTGGACAGAGTTCGAGGCTACAGCTCTGCAGAGAGCGCAGGCTCGGGACGGCGGCAGCTACGACAGGCGTGGCCGAGGCGGTCAGAACCCCGAGAGCGAGCTTAAGCAAGCACGCGGACGGTGCAGCGCAAATGGTGCACATGTGCGTCCCAGCTGGTCCAGTGTCTGCATGTGCATGTGGCAGTTGAATGTTCGGTGGCGCTCAGCCAAGGTTCCTACCTACTCCCGGGATACAATCGGCGATAAACCCTGCTTGTGTCTTATCGGATTTCTTATCGGACCAATCTGCAGGGGTTTCCAAAGGGGTCAACAATGATCCGGCGCGTGTTCCTGACTCCCGCGTGCAAGGAAGAAAAAAAAATTACGCCAGATGGCTGGCGATTCCGAAAAACGGGCACCAACCTTGGAATTGACTCAGGTTCTCCCGCTGTTTCTGGCCTTGTCTCTGATACCTCTTGTCTTCTGCTGTATGTCTCTGACCTGATGCGATCCGTCTGACTTCGTCATAAGGAACCCATGGTGCCTCTACCCAGGTTGTCCAAAGTATCCGTATCCGTACATAGGGACCTAAGTCAAGTTCCATCACTCCCAGCCTGAGACCTACAAGCCATTCCAAGTTTCCTGCATTCTACCTCTTGCCGCGTGCAACACCCAGAAAAGAAAAAGGTGCCTATTGTCACTAGTTCCCGGCTGCAGCAAGAAAGCCTTTTCCTGCTTCGTGTGTGTGACGAACTTCCCCAGATTGGACCCCCTTTCTGCCGGCCTGGCCTTTTACCCTTTGCTCCTTCCCCCTTCTTCTGCTCCTTGTCTGCTCTGCCCACTCCCATCTGTCCCCCTTGTAATATTCAGGGCATAATACCAGAGGACCAGCAAGGACCAATACTGGAGAGGAAAGCACAAGTGCCAACGGCTCCTTCCCCATCTCCAGCTAGGCCCACGTCGGCTAAAGGCCAATCTCATCGCGTCCGCACCTGCCACCAGACTCCGTCGCGCAAGCGGCAAGAGCATCCAGGTCCACTCAACCCACAACCCACTCGAGGGCCACAGTCACCTCACCTCACCGAGCGCACCTTCTCCTCTTCTCCTACACAGGGCCCAGGAAGCGACAGCTCTCGAACCATTTCTCCTGTGCGCTCGCACTCCAACAAACCTTCCACCCTCCACATAAGCTCAATTGCAGAAGCCGCCCAAGATGAGCAAAGCAGCTGCCGTTAAGGAGGCTGTCAAGGAGAGCCTCCTTGGCGCCGAGGAGCCCGTCCAGCTGTCTGCGCAGACAAAGGCGAGATTTGTTGCCAATGCTGTCAAGGATGAGGTGTCAGGAGAGCTCTACATGGGCCCCGACGAGTTCACCAAGGCTGTTGCGCCCGAGGATGAAGATTTCGTAAGTTCGGGTTTTCACTCTAACCTCACCTTCTGCTCTTCCAATTTGTCACTGCTGCGGGAGCACAACCCAGCTCCGATATCCCTCCGATGAACCGACCACTCGATCCATTTTACTGACTCTAAACCTAACACCGCAGCACAAAATCAAGCGCGAACAGTACGGAATTCTCTTCGGCATCGCCGACCGTAAGGGTTCCGGCAAGATTACCCTCTCCGAGTGGGCCGCCTTTGAGAACCTCCTGATCAAGCCCGACGCCGAGTACGAGATCGCCTTCCGCCTCTTCGACGTCGATAGAACCGGCAATGTCAAGTACGAGGACTTCCGAAAGCTCTACGAGCTAAACAAGGGCCCCGACAGCATTCCTTTTGACTGGGAGTGCGAATGGGCCAAGTTGTACATTGGCAGCAAGAAGAAGCGCCATCACATGGACTACCCCCAATTCTCCCAGATGCTGCGTGGTCTGCAGGGCGAGCGCATCCGCCAGGCTTTCCAGCTGTTCGACAAGGATGGCGATGGATTCATTGACCCCGAGGACTTTGAGCGCATTATTCGCGAGACTTCCAAGCACAAGCTCTCTGACCACCTTCTCGAGAACCTGTCGACTCTTTGCAACATCTCGCTTGGAAGCAAGGTTTCCTACGCCAACGTTCGCGCCTTCCAGAACATGATTAAGGAGATTGATCTGGTTGAGCTAATTGTGCGCCGTGCTTGCGCCAAGAGTTCCGACGGCAAGATCACAAGGACGGAATTCCTCAACCAGGCTGCCAAAATCACTCGCTTCTCCCTCTTCACCCCCATGGAAGCCGACATTCTCTTCCACTTCGCCAGCCTTGACGAGCCCTCTGGTCGCCTTGGCCTCGGCGACTTTGCCAAGGTCCTCGACCCATCATGGAGAAACGCTGCCTACGAGGCTGACGATGCTGCTTCGCAAGTTCTTGCCAAGAGCGCCGGAGCTTCCAAGGCTGTTCTCGCATCGATTCTCGAATCCGCATACAACTTTGGTCTCGGTAGTTTGGCAGGTGCCTTCGGAGCGTTCATGGTCTACCCCATTGACCTTGTAAAGACCCGTCTCCAGAACCAAAGAAGCGCCAGACCGGGAGAAAGATTGTATAAGAACTCGATCGATTGCTTCCAGAAGGTGTGGAGGAACGAGGGGCCCCGAGGCCTCTACTCGGGTGTTGTACCCCAGCTCATTGGTGTTGCGCCAGAGAAGGCCATTAAGCTGACGGTGAACGACATTGTGCGTACATACTTCACCAACAAGGAGGGCAAGATCTGGACTGGCCATGAAATTCTTGCTGGTGGTACTGCTGGTGCATGCCAAGTTGTAAGTTCACTCTCTTTTTTACTACAGTCTGGTGTAACCTGAAAGCAAGTGACAGAAGCTAACATTGTTTTTCACAGGTCTTCACAAACCCCCTCGAGATTGTCAAGATTCGTCTCCAGGTCCAGGGTGAGGTCGCCAAGACTGTTGAGGGCGCGCCCAAGAGGTCGGCTATGTGGATTGTGCGCAACTTGGGTCTCGTTGGTCTCTACAAGGGTGCCTCCGCGTGCTTGTTGCGTGATGTTCCCTTCTCGGCCATCTACTTCCCTACTTATAGCCACTTGAAGAAGGATCTCTTTGGCGAGTCTCCGACTAAGAAGCTGGGAGTTGTCCAGCTGCTTACCGCTGGTGCCATTGCTGGTATGCCCGCTGCCTACCTCACCACCCCCTGCGACGTCATCAAGACTCGTCTTCAGGTCGAGGCTCGCAAGGGCGAGGCCACCTACACTGGTCTCCGTCATGCTGCCAAGACTATCTGGAAGGAGGAGGGCTTCCGCGCCTTCTTCAAGGGCGGCCCTGCCAGAATCTTCCGTTCTTCCCCGCAGTTCGGTTTCACTCTCGCCGCCTACGAGGTTTTGCAGAACGTTATCCCCTATCCCGGCAAGCCTGAGAGCTCCAAGGTCCACACCGGTGTTGGCGATGCCATCTCTACCTTGAAGGAGAAGCTCGACACTAGCCCCTTTGCCCGCAGCCGCAACGCCCTCAAGATCATCTTGGACATTGATGAGGACTTTGGAAAGGTCAAGGTCCCTAGCCAGGAGAGTTGGAAGAAGCTTCCTGCCTTCATGCAGACGAACGAAAACACCTCTTCATGAGCCTTTGGAACGGATTGGAATAGCCAGAGAGAGCCTCGATGCTTGTCTGGATGAGAAACAAAGAACCCAGAGTCACAAATGGGAAGAAATCGCATATACGGCTGGGGAATACAAAAGTTCTAGAAGAATGAGTCAAAGACAGCGATGACGACACCCTATTTCTCAAAGCGAGTCATTCAAGAAGAAGCTATGTGAGAGGGAGGCTTCTCTTCGATTACGGCAGAGAGATGGAGGTTGAGAGATTTGCATATCCCCTCGACGGCGTTCAAGGGCAGGCATACAAAGGGATTCGTAGCAATTCCTCAATTTTACACTTTTTTTTTCAGTTTTGTTCCTTTTGTGTCTTGTAGAAGCCTTTTTTCCCTTCTCCTCTGAAAGAAGTTTCTCCTTGGTGTTGCTGTAACGTGAATTGGTATCGTTGCGTCTCGACTTTGAGAGGGTCACATGTCATGGATACAATGTGTAAGGTACAGACCGTAGTGGTAGAATTCTTAGAATTTCTAGAGTTCCAGCTTAGACTATCTAGAAGGTCTTCAGACGGCTTTTGTTCACACTGAGATGTCTTGAGAAGTGGTCAGGATGCCAACCTGACAACCTGCCAAGCTTGGGCGTCTGAGCAAAGCTAACAAAGCATTGAGCTAGAAGATCTTCAAGGCTTCCAAATTTCTACTAGTGTACTGGATAATATGTCAAGTATATTCCAAGCCATATGTGTACATGTATGACGAGTCTGCTCTAGTCTAGTCTAGTCTTTGATGCTCCTCATCGTCCGCACGGAGAAGCGAATCTCTCTCGTCAGCCTTGCCGTCAGAGCCGCGGTAGAGGATGTAGTGCTGGGTCATGAAGACCAAGTCGTACACCATGGAAACATTGCCCAGCGCGAACTTGACAGGGTTACCGGTGATGCCGGACCAGTCGCGCTGCAGGTAGGAGTCGATTGCCTGCTGCGCAACAGAGAGGAGGCCGCCGGAGAAGTCGAGCAGGATCTGCCAAATGGACCAGCCCTTTGTGGACTTGTTGCGGTAGTTTGTAATGACCTGTGGGGTGTACTTGATGAGGGTGATGACGAGCTTGACGTAGGACACGGCGTAGACGACGTCAAGGGCGCACCAGCTCGTGACGGGGTCGCCGTCCCCCGGGGCGGACGCGACGATGAGGCCGACAACGGCGACGCCCACGATGCAGCCCGAGGCGATGCCCGAGATGAAGCGGCTAGGGTTCGTGCCCGGCGCGGGGGTGAAGCCCCAGAGCTTGGGCACGTACTGCGAGGTGGTTATGCAGGAGAGGAGTAGGGCGTGGGCGGCGAAGGTGATGTCGTTGAAGGCGACTGTCGGGGTGAGGCCGTGGTTGCGCGCGGCGTACTGGGCGCGGACGACGGGGGAGTAGTAGAAGGCGGCGTTAGAGACAAAGTAGGCGAGGAAGCCTGCGAAAGTCGGAGTGTCAGCGCTGTACTTGAAGATTGTCTCTCTTATGTTCTACGTGGTGTCCTGGGTTCTTACCTAGGCAGTTGATCAAGGGAAAGTCGACCGTTGTACCGGCCGTAGTTTTCCTGTGGAAGTTGAGGAGAGGCTGCGGGTAGAAGGAGCCGGACCAGCAGAGAAAGTAAATCCAGCCAAAGACGGCGGATAGGAAGGGGAGAAATTCGAACGCCATGTCGACTATAGCTACTGAAAGCGAGGTTGAGCGGAGTTTGTTGAACTCAGTGAGATGCCCGAATACTGTTCTTTGAGCCTTCTTGCGTTCCCTTCTCGCCGGCACCTTTCGTCGAGGTATGCAGTCAGCAAACCTCCAGTCGTTGGGTTCGTATGCTGTAGGAGGGAGTTTTGTGTGCTGCGACTGGAGGGGAAGGTCGCAAGAAAGTTGCAAATGAGCTGTTCGCCTGGTGCACAGGATTGCGACATGAGACCGACCGCATGGGGGTTAGCGCCTTTGCTGCGCTATTTCGGCGCAGGTACCGACAGGCCAGCGGTCCCGAGGTCAGCGGCCCCACCAGCACCGTAAAAAGGGCCCAGCGGAAATCACTCTGAGCGGCGGGGTGCGGCCCAAGTGACCAGGACGCCGGTAACAAGGTTGCTATGATAGGCGGAGCCAAGAGCCCTCATCCATTCTAATCATCGTCCCTGTGATCCACTACTGCTGGACGTCAGGGGACCCGTGAAGGAGCAGGTGCGAGCGCGGAGTGGAGTCCAGTGTTGTCACCGCGGGGTGTGATGTCGCCATTGACGAGAGCGCGACCACCACAGTAATGAGGTCCGGGGGACGTTTGCTGCGTGCTAGCTAGGAAAGCTCGAATCGTATAGATGCTGTATGAGCTGGCAACTCCAGATCGTATAAAAAGACTCAATCTCGTGCGACCGAAGCTTCCTGGATGCATGGGAGTCTGCTGGTTGCACAATGCCTTGGACTGTACAGGAGTGACGAGAAATCTGAACTCCTAGCATTGGCAGCTGAGATATCACAAACCCCCAAAATTATGCAATGAAACTCACGGGATTCGACTTTGAGATGACATCGTCCCGACAAGACTGATGTCTTTGCTGCCCTCGATTTCACCGCCGCGGCGCATCACACCCTCAAGCCAGTCCACATAGTCCTCAAACCCTGTGATGCTGCCATAGACCCTGACAGTCTTGACTGCCCGGACCTCCTCAAACACCCGCAGCGCACCATGGTCCGCACTCTGGAAGGCGGCCTGCCACACCTCGACGACGAGCTCATCCACGCCGTTGAATGCTGCCGTCGCGGCCGCGGCATCAAACGCCAGGTCGCAGTCTAGCCGCAGCCGGATGTGGAAGCGGCGGATGCGGGGGAGCACGGAGCGCTCCCGGACGGGCGAGTACCATGGCCGTAGACGCGGAAAGGAGGCCAGAAGTTTGGTGTGCGCGAGGAATATATTGCTGCCGTAGAGAATGGGCGTCCCCTCTGTATGGATTTGCCGGTTTGTGGAAAGGATTGCGGGATGGAGCCGTGCTTGCGGCGAGGACGGGCCGACTCTATCTAGGGGAGGGTGGATGAGAAGGAGAAGGGCGTAGATGTCGAGACGAATTTCGCAAGGTAGGTCTAGGAAGAAGCATCTCGGCGAGGCCATTTTTGAGCGTCTCAATACGGGTTGATTAGAAGATGCTCCTCTGAGCTATGCAAGCGAATAGAGAAGAGGTGGTCACATCAGAACATGTAGTTCAAGTCACTTGTGCAGGGCGGAGGGAGAGTGGCGGTGGCTTTATCAGTTTCAAGATAAGATCCCTAGCGGCTTATTCCCGCAGCCATGGAAGCTACCTAAGGTAACATCTCTATTGGCGATTTCATCAGGGAAGATAAGAGACGATCGTTTCGCCAAGTGCTGATCTTCCATTTGTAGGTACTTGACATTCGATTGCTGTCTTAATGATCTGGCCCAGCAGATAGGGTCAACTTCGACACAAAGTCGCCCGACAGCACATCCGTCCGCCAATAGACACTGCCATTCCGATTCAGAGCATGAAGCTCTGCCTGCATCTATGGAATATCCAAACTGGAGCATCAGCATTATCACTCCGAGCATGATGTTCCAGGATTCAGAGAGCAGCAAGATCTATACATAGGGTATCCATCTATACTATCAAATGACAGTTGGCGTAGCTATTCGAGCCACATAGGCATAGTATTCATCCAACATTGATGACCCACGAGATTACGTGCTTGGCTCCGATTTAGGGACTAGTCCAAGTGTCCGAGTCTCTGGGGTAGTCCAACCAGTGTGGAGCGAAACTACTTGTGCCCCGTTCGATCCCTAGCAAATTGATAGGCGACATGCATGATGCGTTAAATCGGACCTCATGTTCGGCACCCTGAGCTGCGAGCCCCGGAAGGTTGAATGCTTTGTAGCTGTTCAGTCGAAAAGCGAGCAGCGTAAGGCGATATGATTTCACGGCCTGTCAACGTCGAGCTATAAATATTTTGGTTGCTTAATAGATTTCTTCCTTCTAGATAGCGACCCAGGTGATAAATGCAGAAAAAACTCCAATACACACTACCCAACTTGCAATCATAAGCAGTAATGATACAGTGAACACAGTTACAAGGCGCGCGTTGTAGCTCTTTCTGAGAGTCGTGAGCTAACACATACAGCTCTCATAGGCACGAGTTCGAGTCTCGTGGTATATCCTCGAATCGCAATACCTGAGGCTGGTAAGAGTGTCCAGGAATTTTCGTAAGTCCCCCGTGAGGAGAGCTGAGCTTTTGCGTCGCTTCGTCTCTAATTGATGAATTGATTTGTTCATGTGGTTGCTTTGCCGGCTTCCTGGATCCGTTCACATGTCACGGTGGCTGGGCCGTGTCGAGGCGGGTATTCGGTTGTATTGTTTGATTGATCTCCTTTCCTCCGGGCACACATGACTCTCTCTGGCTAGGTCATGGTCAACTCGGGGAAGAATCTCGACAACTTATTAGGATGACCAAATTCTGTCCTGCTCTGCGCCTGGCCCTCCACAGGTAGCAGCGAGTCTGTATCGCTATCGGCACTGGGAGCAGCCTGCTCTAGCGCCGCCCGTTTCACCTTGATGTTTCCCTGAACCGGAGGCTTTGATGTGCTGGTTTGCGCGCTTGAGAAGGTCATGATAGACCTGGAGTCTGCCGGTGTTGATATCTCGTGAAGTTGGCTATGTGGCCGGGATTTGCCAACATTAGTAGGCTCAGGGGTGTGGCCGCGAGAAACGTTGAAAGGAATAGTCGGCCCAAGGCTCTTTTTTGCAGCATCAGGAGCTGGCAACGACGTTGCTGCCGGGCTGAGTAGTGCCGAAATCTTCTCGTTCGCCATGAGTCCCTTCGTCTGAACGAAAGCGCTTGATCTGGCGTGGTACGGGCTTCGATCGTAGTACTTGTCAATAATCGGATGAACCATAACAGTTTGGTTGTGAATTGTCAGGATCGAGTTTGTGGGAACGTTGACCCAATTCTCTGTTCCAATTAGCAATAGCCCAAACACCGCGTTACGAAACTCTCAACACGTACCTCTCTCAAACGTCAGCGGTTCACTTGCGACAAGTACAATATCTGCGCCTTTATCTTGGCGTTCCATTTGGTAGTTGCGGTCGGTTGCTGCCGATGTCCTCGTGCCCCATTCAGTGCCTGAAGAGTAGTAGAGACTCGCGGCTTCGTCTGTCGCGCTGCTGATGTATCGAGTGCAAATAACGCTTTTGCCGTCTGTGACAGCAAAGTTGAGCAAGCTTCGAGTGTCGATGTTTTCCGACTGGATCGTGCTCTCCGGGATTTCATCGATCAATTCGTTGATTGTGGCGATGGTCTTCAGCATAGCCTTCCTCAATATCGTAGGCCCGAAACCGTGGGCGGGCTGTGAATCCGGGTCGATGCCCATCCTTTCGAGAGTATCGAGGAACAGCGCAAACGCCCATTCACTGTCTGTACCGCCTTGGACCCCAAGGTACCACTTGTCGGCCAATCTCGAACCCAGCCTTCTCTTGATATACTTCCAACCCCCAAGACCACCGTTGTGCATCCACATCAAGCTACCGTGGCAGAATGGGTGGCAGTTATCCTCACTGAGGGATCCCTCGGTCGTTGCTCGTACATGAGCGAAGATGAGTTGGGAAGCGGTCTTGGAGGCGATGCGTTGAAGATTGGTACAATTCCAGGCGGGGATTGTCGAGGTAAAGAGGCAAGGTGCGTGACCGAGCTTGGGATCCGTGTAGAAACCGATTCCGAAGCCATCTGCATTGTTCTGGCCTCTTCGTGTATCCTTTTCGGCCACCGCCAGATATTAGTACGGTACCTAAGCTCTATGCGCCAGAGTGACGTACCAGTCTGAGCCTGGAGTCAAATGATTGCTTCAGGATAGAATGCGTAGGGTCAAGAATGAGTTTGGAGAGAAGAATCTCGTCGCTTCCCCGATACACCTAGAATCAGTCAGCGGGTGTCCTGTCGGCGCTCAATGACACCGAACTTACCAGGAAGCGGCACATGTTGGGCGAGTTGTGTCGGGCAACTCAGAAGGAGTCGAGAAGATGAGGAAGGCGTCGAGGGAAGAATAGTAGTAGGTGTCGCGTGAGCAATGCAACTTTGTCTTCGATGGGGTCTTGACTGTTCTTAAACAACAGCAACAGAAACCCAGAGAATGTGACTAGAAGTCAAATACGAATTCACGAATAGGAGACGTCGGAGGAAGTGTTTGGCCAGATTTATTCGTTTGATGAGCTATGGCGCGATCAGAAACCCCAGGGCGGTGGCGCAAGTTGATAGGGATGAGGTAGCTACCAGCTGAATGCTAGAGCGCGGAGTACCGAACAAGTCAGGTACGTGGGTGGGTGGGGGAAGTTGAGCTGAGGCCCGTGCCGGTTGAAAACACACAAGGCAAGAACTGGGCGTTGTATAAAGTGGTGGGTATTGCTGTTAATCTAAATGAATGACTCCCAGCGATTGCGCCTTCGTTTGGGACTCCGGTTGCTTTTCCGAGCGCCTTGGTGAAATCTCAGGGTTCAGATGGGGATGAATAAGGCAAGATGTACGGAGAACAGTGAGTCATTTGATGAGGGGCGGTATACGCGAAGCTGGTCAGCTGCTTGAACATGGATGGCTATTTTCGAATAATTTCTTGCCCACCCAGGTGCAACTGGAGATCCAGCGCCATCGGAGGGACATTGGAGCTGTGTCTTCTACCTATGTGCCTTATCCAGGGCATTTGGGTATGACGAAGGCGATAAGATAAGGCTTTATGCGAAGAGCGATAAGAGAAAGCCATGCTGCGACTTAAAGTAAGGTAATGTGTAGTTGTGATGGTGCATACCTAGGTACACAGTACTACTGGTTAGGAGCCAGCAGGGAGGTGCCTAGGTAGGTGCTCTTTTGGGGAAGATGGACGGTACGTCAATGCCAGGCGGTCCCCACTAGGTAGGTGCCTTAGTGAAATGGGCTCTTCATGCAACCCGCGAGAACCCGCTTGATTTCCATTCACGCCGCTTCTCATTCGTCCCCGATTCGTGGCATGTCAACGGATTTCTGATATTCAAGTCTCTTGTCAGGCCGGAGCCTTTGGCGAAACCCACACCAACTATCACCACCAAAACCACACCGCTTCTCCATCTCGGACACCCGAATCTCTGGCTTTCCCACTCGAATTTCCGTCTCGCATGCGAAGAACACACTACCGCCTCAAACTACACGCGTCCCGTGCTTCGCCGGCAGCATGAGCGGACGTCTCCTGGCCGCAGGGCTTTCGCCATTGACGCGACGCGCTCCAGTCCAGGCCGTTCGACACTTTCACCGGTTTCCCGCAGGCGGGCTTCAGCGAGCAGATGCAGCTGTGCGTGCTACGCAACGGCGCATGTGGTTTCCTGGCAACGCCTTCCACAATGCCGTCGTCGTGCGGAATGCGTCTTTTGCCCGCTTCCTACCGAAGTTGGTTATCAAGTTTGCTAGAATCCCCGCAATGTTCGGTGGCCTAGCTGTCGGAACACTCGCCTGGATTCAGTATCAAGCCAACCGTACGTACTGGGTTTCTCTTCGCGTCAAAACAAGTTGCCCCTGCTGACCAAGTCACTCACAGAGCTCACCACCAACGCCTGGGATATGGTCAGCAAAACAGCAGATGGTATTTCGGAAACGACGTCTAGTCTCTTTGGAGGTGCCAAAGGAATTATGGATCAAACGATGCGCGGTTGGGAAAACACAAAAGAACAAATCGAAACCCCCGAATGGCTTCAAAAGGTGTTGCGTATCCATGAAGACATTGGCACTGGTGGCGGCGGCTCAGGAGGACCTGGAGGGGAGCAACCCAAGCAGAGCAGAGCCGGGGCGGCTGTTGTTGCAGGAGGCTCGGCTGCTGCGTACGGCTACGATCAATCTTCAGAAGACGACCCGCGAGAACCCGATGAGGTGGCCAATGACGACCAGATGATGATCCTCACCAAAAAGATGATCGAGATTCGGAGCATGCTCCAGCAAGTTGGACAATCGAGCACTCTGACGCTCCCCTCAATTGTTGTCATCGGTTCGCAGTCCTCAGGAAAGAGCTCCGTCTTAGAAGCCCTCGTTGGCCACGAGTTCCTGCCCAAGGGAAGCAACATGGTTACTCGCCGGCCCATAGAACTGACCCTC